CTCTTTACCATCAAACTCTTCAGTCGGTCTACTGTCCACACAACTAGCCAATGCGGCCATCACTGCACACCCAGCCAACCCACCTGTCTAGTCTTCAACTGTGGGGCACTCCACTGCCCTTCATCTAGAAGCAATTGCAATTCCTGCTGCAGCTGTGATACATTCAAATCATTCAGACATATTATCTGAAGAAATCTCTGACACCATATTCCAAAGCATATTCCTAGGACTCGTAGAAATGTCAACTCTAACAGTTTTCCATATCTCCGTACATATCAGCCCCCAAAACTTTCAACTTTATCACCAGTCCACCACACACGGCCAAAAGTCCCATCCACCTGCCTGCATCTCCAACACTTTCCACCAGAATTCCACAGGCCCTCTTGGGATCTCACATTTCCACTGCCAAGCAGCCCCTCTGCAAATATTCAAATGACACTTTGGAGCAACTGTTCCTGGTTTGCCACCTGTTCTTTTTTTCTCCTCCTCAGAGTGTTGTACAACAGGTTGATAAAGCAAGACTGCATCCAGGCTAATTTGCACATAGTTGCCTGGCACCACTTGCTGAGTTGTTAGTCAAACAGCACCAGTCAGGGGAGAAAACAGGGAAGGAACATGTGAGAGCAGCTGGGAAAATGAGAACACTGAAAGAGCTGTGCTGGATCAGACCAAAGGTCTACCTAGTCCAGCATGCTGAAGTGACTCTGAGCAGCTGCTCACAGGACAAGAGTGTACTAACATCCTGCCATGTGTACATCCCACCAACTGAGGCTCCTAAGTATCCTGCCTCTAATACCAGAGCTGGCATATAGCCGTTCTGACTGGTAGCCACTGATGGCCCTATCGCCACGACTTTGCCCAGTCCCCCTTTGAAGACATCAAATTGGTAGCCATTACTTTATCATGCAAAAGTACTTTCCATATTTTACGTGTGCATTCTGTGTGAAGCAGGTTTATCTGTTCCGAGTCTTCCACTGATCAACTTCATGGGATGAGCCCAGATGCTAGTATTGTGGGAGGAGGAGGAGGAGGAGGAGGAGGAGGAGGAGGAAAAGTCTCCTCCTCCACATTGCCTACACAATTCCTAATTTTGTTAGATCTCTATCATGTCTCTCCTTATTCACCTTTTGTCTAAGTTAAACAATCCCAGCTGTTAAAACTTTTCCTCGTAAGGGAGGTGCTTCAGCCACTTGATCATTTTAGCTGCTCTTTTCCACACTTTTCCAGCTCTATTAATATCCTTTTGTAGGTGCCAAGACCAGAACTGTACTCAATTTTCCAAGAGCGATTGCACCGTAGATTTACATAACGAGGAGTATGATGTTGGCAGCCTTATTTTCAGTTCTTTTCCTAATTATGCCTCCCACGAAGTATGCCTTTTTCACAGCAGCCACACACTGGGGTGGCATTTCCATTTTGCTGTCCAGCACCAACCACCCCAAGATCCCTTTCTTGGTCAGTCACCGCCAGCTCAGATCCCATTAGCTTATACTCAAAACTGAATTATTTTGCCTCCATTTACACTTGCTTTCATTGAACTGTGTTTGCCATTTCGATACTCATTCTCCCAGTTTGGAGAGAGCCTTTTGGAGCTCCTCACATTCCTTTTTGTTTTAATCACCCTAGATAATTTGATATTGTCAGCAAACCTGGCCACTTAGGTGCTCATTCCTAATTCCAGATCCAGAACATTTATGAATATTTTGAAAAGCACTAGTCTCAGTACAGATCTGTAGTACCTGTACTGGGAGTCTTATATCTATCCATGGAAGTATTTGCCATTTATTCCTATTTTCTGCTTACAGTTTTTAGAAGACAATGCTATTGCATCCAAGGCAGATCTATCTAAGCTGCTGAACTTAGAAGCTTACATGCATCCCACCCTCAGAATGAAGCTTGGTGTTGGTGATTCCCACTACTGCAGCTCCTTACGCCAGGCATTTTCTCCAGACGGCTGTTTTTAGCTGTCTAGATTTAGGGACAGCGAGAGGAAGGAAAAGAAGCTTGCACACCAATTGGGATTGGCAGAAGCCAGCTTCCTCGCCTCCTTTCCCTCCTTGGAGGCCCAGCTGTGACCTGGAGGGCAGCAAGCACAGCTCTCAGGTGGGGGTGAGCGCAGACTTCAGAGCCCAAGCACTGAGGCCAGAGGACCTCGGTACTCAGACTCTGATGGATCTTAGGCTATGCTGGGAAGCTACTGGATGGACACTCAACTGCTTAGACCAAGAGGGCAGGGAAGATAACACTTTGCAATGTAATCTTCTCAGAGTTAAGTGTTGAGCTTCTACATTTTAGTCTTCTCTGATTCTCCAGGGCTTCCCCAAGTCTCCAGCTTTTCCAACACACAGGCAGATTGTCTCCCTCCTTTTTCACAGCTCCTCTTTAAAGCACTTTTGGCTGCAGTTATTGCAGTGCTCCAACAGGTTCACAAATTTCCTCTCCATTTACTTCCCAGCCATTACATTTGTGCAGATTTTGGCATTTTTAGGACAGCCAGGGAACTGCAGTAACTGCAGCAATAAGTGCTTCGAAAAGATGTTAAAAGTGGGGGAGACAGTATCTCTCCTTTCTGATGCAGGAACTCATGTATATGCAATCTTGGCTTGTCATTTTCCCTATATGTTGCCTACTCCATTTTGTGGTTCCTTTTGTCAGCGGAAACAGGAGGTGAGCAGATGATAGTGCATATGATTGGAGAATTCTAAGGATTTATCTATGAAATAGCAAAAAAACAAAAAGCAAAAATATTATACATGCAGTTGTGCGGTTCTCAGGGACTGAAAAAATGACCTCCATTATGCTTTTTGTGGCTCTAAACATGAAATAAAAGTTCAACAACCCAGTGGCTAATGAAAATTGATAGTGATCTGAATGTGGAGTCGGAGACAAGACAGGTTCTGCCATGAAGGGGCCTGAGACACCAGCCAGGGACTGAGCAAGAAGTCAGACAGAAGATGCCAGTTGAGCCTGATCGTCTGTCAGGCACACCATTGGCTGTTCCATGAACTGTGTAGCTAATTTATAGTTTGGCTTACAGTGCAAACACAGCCATTATGTTTGATGCAGCTTACTTCCTAGTATGTTTAATACTACAAGCATCAGTGGTCCCAGGCTTGACTGCTACTGGTCCAAATGGGAACCCAGGCCTTGTTTCAACACTGGTGACACAGCCCTTAAAATTCTGGATTACAGCTTGCAGCTGAACCACTAGCAGGAAGGGGAAAAGCAATACCAGTTGAACACTGGTTTCAGAGGAAGTTATCTTGGAACATTTCATCTGTGGATTTCCTGAACGTTGGTTTGCCACTGTTAACCCTCCTGAAATACCTTCAAGGGAACTCCTAAAAGTCTAGAAAAAGTATAGTGGTCTGCCAAAATCATAGGGTTTTGATAAAACAGCAAATTTCAGTGCTCATTGTCACAATAGTAGTTTTCAACCCCATGGAACATCAAAGGGGTTTGTAGTCCAAGCCCTACGTCAATTATTCTCACTCATTGCAAACTGTTTGCAAATGTATATACTGCTTTTTGTTGTTGTTGTCAAGCTTCCCAGTAACTTTGTTAGGGCGGCCACTTTTTCTAAATTGTAGTTAAATTCAGCAGGTTTAGAGTTTTGTCACAAAGCATTTACTTTGATGTAAACTTTTGATGTAAGCTTTCTCACATATCCAAATTCAACTTCAACATTTGGGGGTGGGGGAAGGGTCTCTTCATATCCTAGAAACATTTGGCAAAAAAAATTCCTGTGCCAGTAATTTTTTAAAAGTTCTTTTTAAAATATATCACAAAAGGTTACAGAGCAGGACTAATTGACTAATCATTTATTAAATGAGTAAAGCAGCTTTGGCTCTTGGGTGGTAGCGAACTTTAATAAATAAAAGAATAAAATAAAAATTTTAAAAGCATAAATTTTAAGGAATACTGAGGACAAAGAGTGGATGGGGTGAGAGAACATCAGGGACTTCAATGGGAGGGTTCTATGCTGGAGAGAAAACGGCTTTCGACCCTTTCTTGAGTAGTTCAACATTTTTGTCCCACTGCTCATTGATGAACTTACACCGTATTTCGCAAACGAAGATGGCAATGTTCCAGTACAGGCAGCAATGCCATCTACTGGTTCTGTTATATCGTAACAGTTCTGTATCTTAATACAAACCACCAATGGCACCAGCTACTTGTACTTCATTACTTGCATACTGTATACCCTAGCTGGCTTACATACAAAGCTTTGTATTTACATATCCGTATTGCCCAACAGGCAAAGCTCTTTGGGCACTTCACAAAATCTTGATTTATATACAAGGTAACGGTGCCTCAGCACGAGCTGCTTGCTGCAACTCCGTGGGATTCTGTAAGAAGAGCCTTGCGGCATTTGCACGAGGCTCTACCTAGCCCAGCATCCTGTTTCCGGTGGCGGTCGGTCAGATGCCTCTGGGAGGCCCCCAAGCATGGCGTGTACGCCTCAGCCATCTGCACACGGGCGTTCATCCTGTCTTGCGTAGGATCCCCGTCCTGTGTTCTTCAAGAAAGTTGCTGCTTCCTTTCTACGTGGTAAATTCCATGTCGCTGCCCCCACATCCTTCTGAGCCAGCCCGCGAAGCACTTCTCTAAGGAGGCTCCCACCCGCGTGCGAGCATGAGGGCGCTGCCGCCTCGCGCGGACCCCGACCACCGGTCCCGCTCACGCAGCTCGTCCGCCGCGAGTGGGTAACCGCGCTAGCCCAGCCACCAGCCCTCCATGCAGAGAGCCATCCCCCACCAGTCAGGCACGGAGCCGCCCGCCTTTCTCCGCCCTTCCCACCCTAGCAACCACAGCTAGGAGCCTCTCCCGACTCCCCGCACCCTCCCTTCCCCCGGCCTGTCGTTTACGGCATGTCGTAAACCCCACCAACCTGCCTTTCTCTCCCTAGCTACGGACAGTTACAGAGCCAGGAGCGAGGGCCGTAAAGCGGAGGCGCCGCCCGCGCTCGGGAGCTGACGGCTTTAGCGGCTCTGCCGAAGAGGGGAGGGGGAGGAGGCGTGGCCAGAGCGGCAGCCCCGCCCCTTTCGCTGAGGGGCGAATTGACCGGGAAAAGGGTGACTTGGTTGCCGAGGTCCCCGCTTGGGTTTTCTTGTCGCCCGCTGGGTGTGGCTCGCCTTGCCTTCCGAGGGGGGAGGGGGGAGCGCTCCGTTCTCCCCCGTCCTTCGAAGCACCCCTCTTTGTTCGCTCCTCAGCGCCAGCCTTCCTGAGCCGGAGGTTGTCACCGCTCAGGTGGGGCTGGTCCCTTTGTGTGACTTGGGGTGCACGCGTGTCCTTGTGCCGTTCCTCGTGCCAAGAAGACTCTCCCATCACGTCCTCCTCCACCCCACCGTATGCGTGTCCCTGCCTCGTTGGTCCGTTTTGCAGGCTGGCACTGGGAGTCATGGCACAGGTGGGGCACAGGGTAGATTACCTGGCGGGGTTCTGCTGCCCGGTGGGTGGGTTGGCAGCTGGGAAGCCCCGGGTGCTGTGCCACGAGAATCGGATCTACCTCTCCAACGGCACCGAGTATGTCTACGTCTACGACCAAGAAGGGCGGCTGATGAAGGTAAGGGGCACCTCCTGCTGGACCAGACCTGGTCCATTTTGTTTAAGGCAAGGAGCGGGGAAGAGATGGGGAGGCCTTGGAAACCAGGTCAGATGCTGCAAGCGAGTTCTGGGGCAGCTTCGCACTGGTATCCAGGGAAGGAGGGAGTCTGTCTGAAAGCCTTCTTAATCTGATGCAAACTCTAACAGTAGGAACACCAGATCACACACTGTGTTTACTGATCTGCTTTTGCTTACATGTGTGTAATTGGTAACTTGCTTTACCATTGCCCATCACGGTGCAGAAAAATCCACCTTGTAAGCACCCAGATGGTGACTACAGTAGGATGCTTGTAAAGTGTTAGGTTGAGATAACTTATTTGCATGTGTAAAAAGCTTACTGATTGTGAAAATGTGAGTTTCTGTATGGCAGGTTTTGTTCCTCACCAGTGAATAGGTGAGGACAGCTTCCAGATGCTTTTATACATCAGCATGGGACCAAGCTGTGTGTGCTCTGTTTCTTCACTGATCCACCCAAATTGTCAGGGTAACCCCAAATGTTATGTTTCATGTTGTATTAACTAGAATGAAAATGTAGACATTGATTTTTTTTAAAAAAAACAGAGTGTCAGTCATCCCCCCCCCTCAAAAATCACCCAGGGGAAAAAAGAGATGAGATACCTTAGTACGAAGGTGCAACAGGTTTTATTGGAAAATTGATAGCAATAAAGGCCAAGAGACAAATTCCTGTGTGCACAGTGACTTTAGTGAATACAGGATAATTAGATGCAGGGGGTGTTCTGCTCAGGGAGGATAGCAGGACATTGCCTGTGAGAGCAGGCTCTGTACACCTGTTCAGCCCTTGGATTGTAATCTGCATCTTAAAGACTAGATAGAAACACAAGCTTTGAAACCATATAAACCTGGTTCACACAATCACCATAGCCCATGCATCCCAAGCAGCGTTTGAATAGTCAGGCTTTGACTAAAACTTACACTTCATCCAAACCTGATGGGGTAAGTTGTGTGAGGGTTAAACACAAGTCATGGCTTATGCTAGGTAGCTCAGGTTTGGACAATTTAACAAGCTGTGCTTGCAGCTTGAATATTCAAAATGGCTCCCCACGTTTGCTGTGGCCCACTGTGGTATAAATAAGCTGTGATGGGCTGTTTGATTGTGTGAATTGGCCCAGTGAGGTCCTACATAGGAGTTGCATGGATCAGTCTTGAATTTAACATTTACCGAGTCACTGTTGGCAACCAGATATTCTCTGCAGGTTTGTGGAATTCCCACCAAGTGAACAAGCAGGCTGAGAAGGGATGGAGCAGTCGCCCATGCCTTCACCAGCTTGCTCAGCTTCTGTGCTGACTGAGGATGAAATGAAGTCCCTTCACCGTGGCCACCTGATTGGTAAAGGAGAAAGAGGGCATTCCATTCCTTTGTCATTGTGGTGCACTTCTTGCATTTTCTTTTCCTAACCCTCCCTTTTACTTATAAGAGAGTAAAATGCCTCTTACAAATAAAAGGCTGGTGAGATTTTTGCAAGCTAGTAACATTTGGGGGCTTAGTAACAGGGCTGGCATAGGTGCTCAAAACTAGGAATGGAATTAATGGGATTCTGTGTGGTTACACTTCTTGGTTTGGTGCTTTGTCATCTGCTAGCCAGTGGATTGTACCATGATCGTAGCATGAGGCCATCATACTTCTTCCCCTCTCAGTGCTTTATTTCAGTGATAATCTTACATAATTATTTTTGGGCTTGGTTCTGCAGAGGAGCTTGAGAGCCTCAGCTTGGCATGAAAACCTGTGACTTTTGATGCTTGCCTTACCAAAAACTGCTGGCAGGGCTACACGACGTGAAGACCTGAGCTTAGCCATCTAAATCCGTAATCAGGTGTCCTGCTGACTTTTCAATCCATTCTCCCACTATAGCACCCTTTTATAGTTAGGTGGTTGTCTGTGCTTCATAAGCAGCTTACATATAACATGCTATTCTTGCTGTCTGTCAGTAGGTTTTTCATTTTTTAACATCTCACTTCTTTTGGTTATAAATCTTCCCCTGTACTCTAGCATAGCCCTGTTAAACTGGCTGTAGAATGGTGAGACAAGAGGTGTTCACCTGTCTGTTCATTGTCCTGTGGCTTGCATCATTTTCCTTGTGTTGTTTGCTGGACCCATGACACATTGTAGCATTATATTAAACGTATCCCTTTTAATTTCTCCCCTTGATTTGTTTCTAAGGAGCCTGTGCTGGTACTATCTGGCGCTGCCTCCTACACTTTTCCCTCTTGCAGAGAAAAGTAGGTCACAAATGGGTTAACCCTTAAAAAATATATTACTTGTGCCTGAGATCACATGTGCTGCTAAGGATGAGTGCTCAGTTCTGAATCCTCTTCTGAACTGCTTTTGCAGCTCTCACTGCAGAGAGGCATGTGGGCTATGCCTGTTCTGTCACTCCTGAAATGCAGCCCCATCGTGGATAAAATATGTCACTTGTTCATCAGCACAGTATAGCAGCAATGGCAACCTTTAGAGGCTTAAACTGGAGAATCATGTACATGCAGTTGGGTATCATAACCCCCTCTTGTTGCAATGTGTGTTCTTCAGAGAGACTAGCAGAAGTCAGATGTACATCCTCAGATAGATTCACTGATTTATGAGAGTGAAGCTTGGTTTAAATCAAATGCGTGTAGACATAATGGCTTCTGATTACACGCCACCAGGGATACTAAATGATCCCCAGAGGCTGTTGTGTCTGGTCAGACACGAACTGGGTTGGAAGTAGCACATTTATTTTGCATTTATTCCTTTGTAGAATTTATGACTTATCCTGTAGCTCAAGTTTTCAGAATGGCATTCACAATGAAAATAAGTAGAACAAAACCAATGGTAAAATACATCAAATTTTTTAAAAAGTTTTTAAAGTGACAACAGTAGTTTTCAATAATAAATTTCAATAACAATTTTCAGTAATTTAAAAATTTTAAATGCTTGTTCAGAACTTGCTTCTTTTCTGACATGTAGCTGTAGCATTTCGGAGAGAGAAATTCCCATGATACCTCCCATGGCAGTTCCTTTTTTACACTTTTCAAATGGGACTACATTTAGTTTTATTTATCATTATTATTACATTGCAAGGAACTAAGGGCAGTCTATAAGGTTCTTCTCTTCATTTTATCCTCACAACAACAACCCTGTAGGTAGGTTAGGCTGAGAGGCAATGCCTATCCCAAAGCACCTGGTGAAATTCATGTTTGAGTGGGGACTAGGACTTGGGTTCCCCAAGTCCCGGGGCAAAATTCCAGCCACTACTCCACACATGACATCTGTCTAAGCAGCACTGCTAGCTTTTTCCTGGCATTGCCTCCTATCTTTGTCAGCAAGACAACATGGATAGATTAAAATGAAGCCTCTCTTATTCTCTTCTGCATGCCAGGAAAAATTTCACATACTTATTTTCTCTATGCCAGGCTGTTGTTCATAGCATGGGAGTGGGACCAGTAAAAATGTGGCAGTATTATTGTATAGGGTTGGGGACCTACAAAGAAGCAAGGCTGGTATGATGGTAAATGATCTACCTCTCTTGGGGTTTTTTGAAGTAAGAACCATTTAGCAAAGAACTTGACCTGCTCGCTGCAGTTTGTAGATGACCAGCCCTGCTGAAGTATTCATATACCAGGCCTTCCTATGAATCTTGAAACATGTCAGTTTAAACAAGGGGATGTGTTATATAGGTGCTCCCCAAAGGCTTTTTTTTTACAGGTGGAGCTACTGAAAATCTTTTGGTATCTCTTGTTCCCTTCTTGTTACCTGTTTCCTTCCTAGGCTATTTACAGATTTCCCGATCAAGTGTGGCATGTGGAACTCCTGCCCTTCCACAAGCAGCTATATATCCTGTGTGCAGGAGTTGGCATTTACTGTGTATCCCTGGACTACCAAAGCAGGTGAGAGATGGGCCATCACATACCACAGCAGTATCTGAAACTCTGTTTCTGCTATGAAGGTTGGACTCTTTGAGGGGGGATTTGAAGGCACTGAGAGGTGGCCTCATGCAGGTACTCTGGAAAGTGGATCCAAGCAAGGGAAGAAAAAAGGTGGACTTCTTTGACGGTGGGAGACCGTAGAGCTGGAGCAGTAAAGATCGTAGGCAGGGTTGGGATGCCAGAGCAGAGAGTTTTGAATACCTATGTGTAGAGGCTGAGCGTGCAGCACCGATGCCACTTTCACCTGAAAGTCAGCAGCAGTGCTCTCTGGGCAGGCGTACACAATTTTGGGCTGGGCAGCTTGTGGCTACAACTCCTACCAGCTTTAGCCAGCATAGTCAGGGGTGAGGGATGATGGGAGGGCCAGATACGGAGGGCCAGAAGGTGCAGCCTCTTGCAGTAAATGGAAGGACACTGAATAAAGAGATCTGCTTTCTTTTGTTTAAAAAAAAATAGGAGGGACTAGACGGGGAGGCAAATCTCACTGGGGTTGAAGAATTAAGGGGGCATTATCCTTTCCTGCCTTGTCCTGCTATTTTCATAATTAGAATTGTCTGCCCCCATGTGGCAAAACACTTTGCCCCATGGCACAATAGCAGGGGTGTGTGGTTTTAAATTTTGCAGGGAAAAGCATTAAGGCCCCTCTCCCAGCACCAGAGTGATAAGTCTCCTGCATTATGCCTAGAGGTGCTTGCACAAGAGGCTTTTGTTGTGCAATCGCCCTGTCTCATTCATGGCATTTGGTGCCATCTTCCATTTGTAATCCTCTCATGTTTTCCTATTGTTTCCTTTGCCTTTTCTCTTCCCAAAGAAAATGTGTTAAGGAGGGGGAAAATGGAATACCTGTACCGTGCCGTCTGATTGGTAGTGCCAGGAGACCCCTGTCTGGAAGCAGTCTGCATTGGTCTCTAGCTTCTCAGCCCTTGTCACACAATTCCCAAACTCCTTGAACAGCGGCTTGTGGGTCTTTTGAGTAACAAGAGGGTGACGTTTCTGGAACTTCCCTCCAGAGTGGTAGCTTTCCTCAGTTTGATTCAGTTTGCTTCTTCCTGGATCCAAGCCTGTGAAGCGGATACTCAACATTCTGATTTTTTAATTTTATTTCTGAGCTTGTACCCGTTGGCCACACTGAGTGCTTTTCCTTGTTTGCTTTGAAGGTTAGTGAAGCAGACAGATGGTGAGGAGAATGACTGCTTCTCCAGCGTCTTCCCCATGGGCTCCGACGCCTGCACCTTCCCTGATGCCACACTTTGCACGTTCACGCTGCTCAGTGATGTCCTTGTCACCCTCTCCCAAGTTCAGGGGAAGTGGTGCATGAATCTCCATGCGCTCCCAGGCCCTGAGGACTGGGAGGACGCGCCCCGCCAGCCAGTCAGCCACGTGGACATCACTACCAGCACCAGCAATGACGGGGACTTGTCCCTAGCGCACTTCCTCCCTGTCTTGTGTTGCGCATCTTCTCCCAGAGCCAGTGAGCACAAGGAGGGTCTTCGCCACTCTGGGGGGTTTGTGCTGGAGGAGCCCCTCTTCAGCCTCCTCTTTGGTGTAGATGCCGCCATGCTGGATTCTCCCATGATCCTCTGTGGTTTCCCGGATGGGCAGCTGTGCTCAGTGCCCCTGAAGGCCCTGAGTTCGCCTGGTAATGGCAGCTGTGATGATTCCCCTGTTAAGATCCTTCATCATCTGGAGGAGCCTGTGGTCTTCATCGGGGCCTTGCGGACAGCGCGGGGGTCCCCAGATTCGGAGGAGCTGCCGGCATTCGGAGACGTGGGCTGTGACTGTGTTGTGGCCTTGGGTCACTATGGTAAAATGGTTGCCATCAAGGCAGCTCAGGGAGAAGAGATCAAGGTCCCGGAGCTCCGAGAGTATTACCTGCAGGGGCCGGTCCTGTGTGCAGCGTGCAGCGGGGGCAGCCGCATGTACTACAGCACCCATTCTGACATCTACGTGGTTGACTTGGACAGCAACACCCCAGAGGCCGAGAAGGTGGCGGACTCAGCAGGGACCCTTCCGTCCGCCTTGTCTCCTGCCAGCCTGAGCATCTGCAGTGTAGTGGCACTCTCTTTGTCGTCCCGGGAGTCGGAAGGTACCGGAATGGGTGGGGAAATTGCTCTCTGTTCTGAAAGAGTAGAGAGCTTGATGTGGATCCAGGCATGCCTGCAGCTCACGGAAACAGGATGTGTGAGGAGAGAGCTGAGCTGTGAGGAAGATTTCTGCAGCCAGGATATGCCTTAGCTGGGGCCGTGAGTGCTGGTTCTGATCCCATCCTTTTTCTCCTTGGAAGCCCAGACTGGTGTGTGACATCACAACACACAGCCAGTACAGGCAGGGTTTGCTCCCAAAGGCAGGCTAAACACTTTTAAAATCACCACTTTGCTATAGACCAGGGTGAGGACATCCAGGGGCCACATTCGCCAACAATGTGATCCAGGCACCAATGATGCAATAGTTGGCTGGTTTCTGCAGCCTCCCCTCAACCCGAAAGGTTGGACTGCTCCTCCTAAGGCTTAGCTAGTGACCGGAAGTGGCACCTTGGGCCCTGCCCCATTTGCCCTTGGCCCTGCCCATCACTGTGGGACATGCTGCTTCAGAGATGCTCCCAGGGCACTTAGGCCTGGGACCAGAGGAGGTTCAGCCGTTCTGCTGCAGTCTGTGCCCTTGGGCCAGATCTAGCCCAGAGAGACAGGGAGGGAGGTGGATGCCCAGCTCCTCGGTTGCCAGTGCAGAGGTGGAAAAGGGGCAGGGCTTTGTCAGCAAGCTTCACGGGACAGGAGGCTGGGAAGCTGCCTTCCTCCGAGGGGCCCTTACGCGGTGTTCGCCGTGGATTAGGACTGCAGAGTCCTCTGCACCCCAGCTTAAGGCAACCCCTTTTACACGGGGCATGAGACGGTCCTGTGAGCAGGGCTGCAGCCATCATGGTCCCAAGAAGTCCCCAGGAGGCCTTATCCAGGAGAGGGGCCGCTGCAGACCGAGTCTCTTGTCTCTTGCTGCGAATGAGGTCAGGGCATGCCTTCCCTGCCCTCTCCCCCTTCCCTTTTCTTCAGACCCACAATTTTGCTTTGAGCAGTTCCTGAGTATAATTAGTATCAAGCCCTGGTCCAAAGAAGGCATGTGAACGGGGCGGGATGCTGGGTGGGGCTAAGGGAGGCTGCTGCACGCTGTGCTCCACAGGCTCCGTGCTGGTCCCCGGCCCCCGGCCCCTCCCCAGTCCCCGTTGCTTGAGGAAGAGATGCTCGGCTTTGGCAGAGGCTGTGCCCACGATGCGCTGGCTCCTGAACACTGGGCCCCTTTTGGATTCAGAACTCTGCACAGAGGGGAGCTTGACCCAAGCGCATGCTCTAGAAAGACAGGGAATTGAATGGCAGTTCAGGAGCTCTGCCTCTTTCTGGTGAAAGGGTTCTGTAATGCTGAGATCTGGGCAGAGTGCAGTAATTTAGAGTCTTCTTTTCTTGTGCCAAACAGCTGCATTGTGCTTGCTCACCATGCAAGAGGCATTAATATCTTGAGTGCAGGAAGCAGCCTTCCTTCCCAGCAAGGAGCAGTGTAGGCTCAGCAACTCCCATTTCTCCCTGCCTTTAATGCAGAGCAAGAGTGGGCTGCTCAAACTGCCAGGAGGGGGATTAAGAAACACACGGTTCTTTACAGCCCTTCTTCCCATCAGCAGGACGGAGTCATTACCTCGTCTGACAGAAGGAGGAAGGGACTTGCCTGGGGCACTCCTTCCAAAAGGACTAAACATAGAATAGTGTTCTCCTTCAGCATTATTTGGGCTTCTGCAAAAATTTGAATGTCTCAGCACTGGAATGAGCTTCGCTTGGGCAGGGGAACAGTATCAATATGGGGCAGGAACTTACAGCAGTGGGGAAGAAGCTTAGCGCTCTTCAGGATATAGATGCCCTGTTTCCTGGATCACTGTAAACTTGACATTTAGTGTTGCTCAGGTTCCAAGCGATTACAGATGGGTCTCTCTTCCTTTCACACTCTGTTTGCATACATGAGAACTAGCAGCTTGATTTTTAAAAACTGGATCCTCCAGTCCACCCTGCATCTTGCTTCTTCACTTTCTGCATCTTCTCCATCTTCCTAATCACAAGTTTGCAATCTGAGGGTGAAATTTATCTTGCTGAGGGACCAAAATTGGGAAATAGAATACAGGACAAATGAGTTGCTCTCAGGAAAAATGAAGCTGGAAGCTAGAAGTGCCCAGTTAAGGCAGGATTCTACAGGGAGCATGTGTGAGTTGGTTTTTACATCTTCCCCCAAGTGCTGCAGCGCTCTTCTTCAGAGTGGATTCTCTGTGCCCACCTCACAGCCCATTCACTTTGGCTGCCTATCATTTCATTTCAGTACCACCGCCAGCTGCAGTCTCCTGCGAGGGAGAAGCATTCTCCGTGTTTCCAGGCATCTGCCCCTGAAAAGGGAAACGGTATGCCAGCAGCAAATTGCTGGGAGTTCGCTTTGGCATGATGGAGCAGCCGGCGGCCACCTGTTTCTTTTGCTTCCTTTTCTGGGTGGTCCCCAGAACTGACTGTTGCACATCTTACACGCTCCCTGTGCATTTAGTCTCCGGGTGCACTTAGGATCCTTGTTCTATTGATTTTATCTGCACCAGTGAATTTTCTGTGGCATGGATGGGCAGAAGCGATCTGTTCAGTGATCCCTGAGTGATTTGCAGTAGATCAGTAAGGATTTCTGACTCCCAGTGGTTTAGCAACAGTAGCATCAAAATGCCCATCACCCTGCCCAAAATTGTACTGCAGACATAAAACAGGAGTGAATTGGGGTAATTAGGAATGCATGTTTGAATAGAAGGACAAAGAATTCTATTATATTTTGCTACTCAAAACAAATGCTTTAATTCAGGGGTAGGAACTTGTGGCCCATCAGATGTTTTTGACATACAACTCCCATCATCCCTTACCACTGGCTAGGGATGATGAGGATTGTAGGCTAAAACATCTGGCAGGACAGAAGGTGGCCACTCATGCTCTAATAGTAGGTCTTTTGCATCAGGTTTGGTTAGTGGATCTTGCAATTATACTAAGGAAATTAAAGCAGGTGCTCCAAGCCTGAAGTCTGCCCATCCCGATCTATGGCCCTAGTTAGATTTACAGTGAGGGCATGGCAGCTTGAGCATTTGTTTTTCCTGGAAAGAAGCTCTCCTGGATGCATATATGACTCCTAAACTTACATGCAGGCTAAGCTGCATGATCTCTCTTCAGGCAAGGAGCAGATCCTTGGGAGCTGCAGCCTCATGGTCTAGGGCAAGACCAAGCCCCAGTGCCTGTTTGGCTGCCCATTTGGGCCTCTTCCGCATGGATCTAGAAAGGATTCTTTTATGACCATTTCCCCCTGAAGTCCCTGCGCTGGAATTCGAGGAGCTACTCTGAATCCTAGCTGGCTTAAGGCCTGTACAGAAGCAGGATCTTTAGGCATTTCCAGCTGGTGAGCTCCTTCTCGTGCAAGCCACAGAAGCAGAGCACGGGAGACAGACACAATGCCCGTGGCAAGACAGGGCACACGTACATTGGTGCAGAGATTCAAGCACGTGGAAGAGAAGATGGGCATCTCTTAGGGACACTCCCCAGTCTTTCTTGCCTGGAGACGGGAAATTCTTCTGCAGCGGCAGGTTGAAGGGTGCCCCACACTGGACAGGCTTTAATGTGGTTTAAACTGCTGAGCTGCTGTGCTGGTTGATCGAAAGGTCACCAGTTCAAATCTGCACAATGGAGTGAGTTCCCGTTGCTTCGTCCCAGCTCCTGCCAACCTTGCAGTTCGAAAGCATGCAAATGCAAGTAGGTAAAAAGGTACCCCTTCAGTGGGCAGGTAACAGCGTTCTGTGCACTTTGGTGTTTAGCCATGCCGGCCACACGACCATGGAGACTGTCTGCGGACAAATGCTGGCTCCCTCGGCTAGGAAACGGAGATGAGCACTGCCCCCAGGAGTCAGGCATGACTGGACTTCACGTCATGGGGAAACCTTTACTTTTTTAAAGTTCCTTCCTCTGAAGATTTGGACCCTGCGACTATCAGAGTGCAACCCAGTGAGGTTGCCTGTAACCCTCATAAGTGTGCGCGGTGGGAGGAGCACAGAGGGAAGCATCCAACACACTTGGCCAGTTTGGGCCACCTGCATGTTGGGCCTCAGAACAGGCGAGAAAGAATGAGGCACCACCAGGTTGCCCTGTGTGCTGGCACAGCTTGTTTGCTCTCCTCTGCAGCCTCTGGATTTCAGCCAGTGCAGTTCCTCCTGTGCCAGCTGCAGGGCCAAGACGGGTGGCGCCCCGGGATCAGAGCCCCTGGTCCTCCCTTGAGGCAGGCTTAGCTGGGACTCTGAAAAATCCTATAGCCATCTAGACCATTTTGAGCTGCTGTCAGCCCGTTAGGACCCTTTCCATCCCTTCTCAGGAACCTCTGGCCACAGTGTTGGAAGTCTGACTGCTCCGTAGGAAGGCAGAGAAGAGGGAAACTGTGGGAGACCCCCTGATGTCTTCACTGCCTGTGTGGATATTCAGCATTTGGATTCATGTTGGAATAGCCCAGGCAAAGCACCCCTGCCGTGTTGGCGTGAACATCTTCAGTGCAGGGGTGCCATTCCTGTGGCCCGCCAGATCTTTTGCTCTGCGGCTCCCATGCTCACTTTCCATTGGCTGTGTTGGCTCGGGCTGATGGGTAGCATTGAGGGGGTACCAGGTTGGGGAAGGCTGGGAGTAAGTCCCCTTAAACTCCGTGGGACATACATTGGTGTAAACCTCTATAGGATCACCCCGTTAAGCTTGTCGCTGAGGTGGGCACCTTACTCTTGTCGTCCAGCCCCCATGTACCTTCACCACTGGCTGTGCTGCCTAGGGCTGATGGGAGTTGTAGGCTAGAACATCTGGAAGGCTGCAGGTTGCCCACCCCTGTTCTAACGCTTCAGGTGGGAGCGGGAAGGAGATGCCCTAAATTCTCTTACAGACTCCTTTTGATCCCCTCTCTGTCTCACTTGTGTGCATTGCTCTCCTCAGGTGAGTCTGAGCTGCTGGCTTTATCTGCTAAAGGCCGCCTCATGACCTGCGGCTTATGCAGCCCAGACGACACGCAGCCTGTCAGGATGAACCCAGACAAAGCTGGACAGAGGATCAAAGAGCTGCTGTCTGGGATAGGCCACGTCTCCGAGAGGTAGGTCCTTTCAGCCACTGGCACTCCCGCCGGTGTGCATGAGTCTGTACACACAGCGGGCAGTCAAGACATCTTGTGACACTTGGTTTTACCTACAGCTGCCCAAGCGTCTAGTATGGGAAGTGGGCTTTGGAAACCAGATGGCAGTATTTGATGCTGAAATCCCGCCCCCCCTTGCCCCCCCCCCCCCCAGTATCTTAGATCTAGTAACAGTTGTGGAAGAAAGGATGCATCTTCAGCCTGTGGATAGAGCCACTGTGTTTTGTTTGCGTGTATCACTTTGTATCCATTGCACATTTGGCAGTAATAGGAAGAACCCTTTTGAAGCTACTCTTGAGGAAACACAGAGGCCATGTTTGGTTAGTGTTTCTGAGAATGCCCAAGCTGATCTGTGCAAATAAACATACCCCAACAGAGTAGAAGTACACAGTATATTTTTTCAGGAGGAGCTTCACAATGGTTCTGCCAGCTTCTGTTGCTTAAGGTGCCTGTGACATGCGCAGCAGTATTTCTTTATATCCAGGTCCAAGGAAGGCTAGGCCTGGGGAACTGAGTTTGTGCTCCCACAGAAATCCCACCGTGCATGTGCCTGCAGCAGTTCCGTTCACTTGGAGCACCTCTGGTTTCTCTTCTCTTTGCTAATCTGTTCAGGAGGCCTCTGGCCCCTTTAGCTGTAATTACTCCTTAGGGTCCGCATGCTCACACGGTTTCAGTGTTGTTTTCTCTCCTGGCCCCTGCAGAGTGTCCTCCTTAAAACGGGCTGTGGATCAGAAGAATCAAGCGCTGACCTGCCTGAACCAGGTGATGAACGTGAGCGCAGCTTTGCTGTCGAGCCAGAATGGCCAAAAGCCCATCACTTGTGCCATCACTGCCCACTGGAGCCACATCCTGGTTCAGGACACCTTGACGGTCTGCTGCGTCCTGGAGAACTCGAGCGAGTGCAGCCTGGAGCGCGGGTGGACCTTCTGCGTCCAGCTGTTTGCCAGCTGCTGTGACTGTGAAGAGGACTCTTCCGATTCTGCCATCACCACCTATACCTTCCCGATCGATCAGCTGCTCCCTGGGAACAAGACGGAGGTGACCCTCCCACTGGGCCCCACCGAGGGCTCCAAGCTGGAGCTGCCTTTCACCGTCTCCTGTTCCCTCTACTACAGCCTGCGTGAGATCCTGGGCACCGTCTCGGAGTCCTCTGAGCTGCTGGATGACCTGTTTTCTGATGACTCCCCAGGCCTTTCCCCAGACAGAGAAGGCATCTGCCTGCCCTTGAGAGAAGTCACCATCGATCTCCTGCAGTGCCTTCGCTTGGAGGATGCCAGCGGGGTGCCTGACACTGCCCCGCCTGCAGATGCCATGGCCGCCCCCGGGGATCCACTGGAAACCTTCCTGCAATTGTCCCAGGTGCAGTCTGACCTCGAGAAGATCGAAGGGAGTGATGAGCTGGTTCCAAGAGCAATGAATGCTCTAGGAGAAGGTTACCTGGCTCCGTCCGTGGCTTCAATCAAGGTGTCCTCTGAACTGCTGAGAACAGCCCTGAAGGACTTGTGTGCAGGTGTGCGATTTCCTCTCTCCTTCACCTGCCCCTTCCCAGTGAGTGTTTACTGCCTGTAAGCTGCCAGGTGCAGTGGCAGTTCTGGGTTGCTGTTTGCACACACCGGGAGAGGCAATTTTCCTTGCTTGTGAAGGATGCTGTTACGCCGTGGGGAGCAGCAATGGGGTGGAGACTCCTGGCAATGGGCTAGTCTGTCGCATCACTGAGCAGGCTCACTGCCTTCAGTGCTGAATGCTGCTCAGCAGCATCCAAGAGCCTGGAAATGATTTCCAAATGCTGCGGCAAGACCAGGGAAAACCCGTGGCCAAACCGCTCACAGTGCCTTGACAAACCCCGATAGCAATGACACGGAAAGCAAGCGGTGCACCGTTCACGTAGGTTACTGACAGACAAAATGGGCCTCATTCGGATTTCCACTGTGCAGATCCCGAGAGGTAATTTCAGCCAAGGTCAGAGTCTGCTTTTTTGCCAAACCAAGCAAATCTCTTCCTGAAAGAACCTCACATTCTTCATGTATGCTTGTTGATCCTAGGTAGAAATTTGGATAATTGTCCCCATTGGGGAAGGAGTGTTTTTTGGGGTGGGGGGAAGATTCAGACTATTTTGCTGGACACAGTGTCAGTGATGGAGAGAACAGGACTGATGGAGGGCTCCCTTGGACCCTCTTGCTAGAACCGTTGATCCCGCTGCTACCAACTTCAGCAGGCTTCGCAATCAGTGCAGCTTGCAACACGACCCTCCCTGGTGGAGTCTGCCCAGGACCTCGCTTCTGGCTGATCAAGCAGCCAGTGGTGGATACGGGTCCTGCACTGGGGATCGTCTGTTCAGTCTGTTTGATCCTGGATTGCATGCCGCACGTGGCCACTTCTTGCACGCAGTCAGGGCAGCCGGCTGCAGCAAATCAGCCGCTGCGGTCCTTTTTTGGGCGACACCTCCCTAGACATGTAGCATATTCCGTGCACTCTCTAAGTGGAAGTCAGCGGCAGGGGCCACCAAGCAGTGAGAAATCACGTACCCCACTTAACAACGCCTGCCTTTCTTTGTTGCCGTTGTTCAGACGCGTCGCTGTGCTGCGCTGTGCTGCGCTGGCTGCTGGCGGAGAATGCCGAGGCGGAGGGTCTCCGAAGCCAGGCTGTGACGGCAGCGCGGGGACTGGCCCCAGATGGAGGTCGAGTGCAGCTGAGCATCCGAGAGGCAAGGCATGAGCTGTAGACTGGGAGGGGAGGCTCTTCCAGTGGGCACCAAGCCAGAGTCTGGTTCCTTGTGGAACGCTCCACATGGCAAGCCCTGCCCTGCCCTGCCCTGCCCTTTGAGGTAGCCTTGGGCAAAGGCTCTTGCCTTGGGTGGCTAGCGTGACCTCAAGCTCTCCCTGCTACTTGCCTTCCCCTGTCATGCACCCTAAATACTAATGCTGCATGTCTCATAAAGTCTGTGGTCTGACCCTGTTTTATAAGGAGCCTGCATGTTGCAACAGGGGTGGGGAGGGGATATCGTAAAATATCAGTGTAAGGGGCTTGCCGTATCGTGTCTTAGTCACCCTGCAACTAAATCGAAGCTTTTCCATCTTCCAGGGCTTAAGGTGAGTGGAGGGAGAAAGGGTAAAGTTCATAGCTCCGCCTAGCCTCTCCTGCTCATGCCGAGTCCTGCAGGCACCGTGTGTACTCCTCCTTTCTCTTCTCCCAGTCAGAGAATTGCTGTTGCCTCTGCAGAGCCTCCCCAGGCTTGTGGAAGAGTGGAGGGCAGTTGACCGTGCCCTGGGATCTCACGGGCGTTCCTGGATCACAGCGATGGTTGGCTGCAAGCAATCCCCCTCAAGTCCTGTGGTGTTAAGCTAGCGGAGAGTTCTTTGGGCAGCAGAGTGTGTTAAGGGCAGCCTCCTGAACACAGCAGCCATGCTGCTGGGTCAACCACCTTAGTTTCTGGATCCTGCCTCCGTTTCCTGCTGCAGCGTTTGCCTTGAGGGCTTGCTGCACTCCCAAATGTGCAAGTTTAACCAAAGACATCTTTATTACCCTGGAAGATGGAGAAGTTCTTTAGAGCAGGACCATTGAGCCTCATCTGGCCTGCTTGGGGTCCCAGCCCAGCCCTCTGGGGTTCCCCAAATAGCCATGCTTCCTTTCCCCACAGCTGCAGATGTTTCCCAGCTTTGGTGTGCCCTTGTCTCATTCCGTGGAACACCTTTCCTAAAGCCCAGCTGCTGGTGGCACAAGTGTAGTCAGTACGCGGCTGGATTTGGTCCTGCCCTCTTTGGCTGCTCTCCACTGGAAGTGCCTATGGCAGCCCTCTGCAACTGGGGCCTGCCAGAACAGGGAACTCCCATCATTCCCAGCCAGCATATGACAAAATGCCACAGTACTCCGGAGTGTGCGAGAATCCTCAGTCTAGCAGCTCCTCCGACCCGGCACCGCACAGTTGGTCTGCCTTGCTCACAGCTAGGCAGGTAACCCTAATGTTGCTGCTTGGCTGCAGGAGCGAGGCTGGAATCATCAAGCAGCAGGTTTCTTCTGCTCTTCGGCTTTGCCGCATTTCTGTTCATTCTTCCGTGCGAGGGGGAGGATGGTCAGAATGGACTCGTTAAGCTGCCCCCCTGCTTAATCCTCTTGGCGCAGCAGACGGCTGATGTTAATTGCTAGCTGCCTCTCCTGCCATGGCCTGTTAACCCTCCAGAGAGCGGGTCCGCTTGAGCCCTAGCAGAGACTGGGTTCCTCCAGCTTTGCGCATGAGAGCATTAAAAACGCCAGAGCGATTAGTGGCCACGCTAATTCTGCTCCAGCTAAACCTCCTGGATTAAGCTCATTGGGGGTGTGTTTCATTGGGGTGCGGAGAACAGGCCATCTCATTTCAGCAGAGTGTGAGTGCTGTTCAGCGGGCATTAAAGCTGGCTACCTCTGGGATGCCCATGCAGAGTCTAAGCAGAATGTGTTTGGTAGGTCTTGTGTAATCCTAATAAATTTCAGGAAGGGTAAAACTGCATCTACGGATATCTGGATGAAAGGTACTGATTTGACATCCTTTGGAGTCTGGAAAGTTACTGGGGTAGAAGGAGCTCTCTCTCCAGGGCATCAGAAATTGACGCCATTGAACCCACGGTTGGAGGGGAGGGGTTGAGTACAGCAGGGCTAAGAACGGAAGAGGAGGGCTGCTGGATCAGAGCAAAGGCCTGTCTAGTCCTTTGTGTTCTGTGTCCAGTCTCCATCCAGCTGCTTGTCAGACTCTCACAAGCAGGACATGGGGACAGCAACAACTTCCCACTCATGCTGCTGCTTATACTGGAGGTAATGCATAACCATCAGGACTGGCAGCCATTAATAGCCTATTCTCTCAATTTGCCCAGTCCCCTTGTAAAGCCATCCATGTTGGTGGCCCTCTGCATAGCTTGTGGTGGCAAATTCCATAGTTTAATTCTACAGGGGTTCTGCCATGGGTCCAGGGAGAGTTTTGCTGCTGGTTCATGATCTCATCATCACTGGGTGGGTGTGGGGGTTGAGGCGCCATCTTGCCCTTTAATATGTGGCTTGAGTCACTTGCTTGAGTTTTTCCTGTATTACAAAGCTGTGGGGCAGTGGCAGTGTGGACCAAGCACATTAGAATCTAGATTGTGTGGGCCACATTTGGAAGGGCATGAACAAGTGGGCTAAATATCGATTGGCATTTCGTCCTTCCATCCCACTTTCAACGAAGTGGATGTTTGGGTGTCTGAGCTTAGCTGTGTAATCTGTCAGAACAGAACAATGGAGCATCCTACCTTCTTTTCACTGGAGAAGAGAAATTGTGCTGGAACGTTTCGGGCAGGAGTAAGCAGAAGGCAGTCCTCTAGTTATTCTGAACTTCAGCTCCCTGCGTTCCTGGCCACCGGCCATGCTGCTGCTAGAAATGAAGTCCGAAATATCTGGACTTCCAAAATGAAGTCCAGACAACACCTGCCTTCTGCCCACCCCGGGGTTCGGTCCCTGCACTGGGGACCTCAAGAACAAAACTCAGTTGCCCACCTTTGCTGCTACTGAGCTAAAGGCCAAACCACGTGTTACAAGCGAACATGTTGCAGTAATCTCATGATCCCATTAAATAGAAAAGCTACTTTGGGAGGATAAAATCAACCCTGCCTTTACTCCAAACCACCCATCTAGTACTTCCCCACTCCCTTCCCGGGTTCCAAGAACATGTTTTGAGACACTGTGGAGACTACTGCAAGGGATGATTTGGAAGTGGGAGGATGGGTACAGCCATCAGCTTACAGTTTCACCCTTTTGTGCGTGACATGCAGTTTGGCCCTCAATCATCTTGTGTATAAATTAGCTGCATTTCTTTCCCTGCCTTCTTTCCACTGTAAGCTCCTTGAGGAGGTGAAAGCTACTTTTTTGTTTGCATGTGCCCCGTATTGCACGAAGCCCACCTCTTAAATGTTACAAGCATATATATCAAATGATTAATTATCACACTCTGCAGAACTGTGCAAAAGAGCAGCAGACCTGAAAAAACAACTTCCGGCTCCACCATAAATAAGCAGGGTGACTTCAGGCACCTTTCTAACTTCAGCCACACTTCTTCTATCATCTGTAAAATGGAAACAAGTACACCAAAGGGCAACTTTTTTCTCCGTTGGTAATCTCTCTGTTACTACACTTTTAACTTGGCACCACTCAGCAGAATTTAATGCGGTGATGTTCTTGCTGCCTCTCTCCCTTGTCCCCAAGGTGACCGTCAGTGATCCGAACCCAGCAGCCCCCATCCAGGCAGTGGAGATTGTGGTCCAGAGCTCCCTGCTGGCAAACTTGTGCCAACTGCATCATGCGGTGGTTAGACGGATTCAGGTAAAAAAGATTCCAGTGATGGGGAAGGACGATCACTGCTTGCCTGTCTAATGCCCTTTGTCACATGGAAAGACACCTGTGTATCTGGGGTGCAGTCTAGCTGCAGTCAAGACTGGTCCATTCACAGTAAATCTAGGCTAACCCAGTGGATTTGATTCCTAGACCCGTGGCCATATTGGCCACTTGTCTGGAAGCAGAGTGCCTTCCAGACCTCCTCCTGGAGAATGAGCATGATGATTCCTCTTTTCTCAGTCTAAAAAGCAATCCAGATCTCAGAGGCATTTGTTCCCCACAAGAACAAGAGTGTACACCCCAAAATGAAGGGTGGGCAGCCATTTACTCTCTGTGTATGCTTGTGCTGCAGCAAGACGGCTTCCCCCTCGCAGCATATAATGGGGGTGATTAGCCCACAGACTTGCCCAGGTCCGGCTCTTCTGAATTTGCAACCTCTGGTTTGCCTGATCAGAAATTGCTCTGTGACGTGCTAGTCTGAACACTATGTATTAACTGTGGGTTAAGCAAACCAACGTTAACCTACAATTACCTGTTAACTTCAGGTTATTTAACCTGTAACTCATAATGTCATGGGCTGACCAGAGGTTGCATATTGCCTATGGCCGGGCAGTTTAGCAGTTGCATATTCACAATGACAGTAGCACATGCTGCAGCAATCTTGGGTTAATTAACCTACTGTATCCAGAGTTATGTGCAAACAGGCCCATTGTGAATATAGAAGCCTCCTTTCTCACCAGTAAGAGTGGAGCAAAATAGCTATTTTGGCTTGTTATCTAAAGCATGGATGGGCAGGAATTAGTTCAGGATCTGCTGGTAGATCTCTGAGTGTTTGATGGTAAACTACCAAAGGTTTCCATCCCCTGAACAGTAACAAGTCTCTACTTCCTAAATTGGAATCTTGACGCGGAGGAAAGTAACAGTGGAGGAACCAGAAGTGGGTTGTTGTATGGCAGGACTATGAGTCAGTTCCAGTACTTAAAAAAACAAACCCTGGACTGAACATGTGTTCCAAGTCTCCCCCCACCCCCCGCACAAGCTCTTTAATAGTGAGCAATTTAACCCTTCCACACATGTACTGTTTTGCACGTGGCTCTGGGAGAATGACTTTGAGGTTACAATGCAAAAAGTAGATACTGCAAACATGAAGCTTGTCCCTCCCTGACCTAAAGCTTTCTGTACTGCGCAAGGAGATTCCTGGACAGTAAAAAGAAAAATGTAGATATTCAAAAGGATAAGAGAAGCAGGTGACCCCAGAGGACTTCTGTCCCATTTTAGTCATCCTTGTCAGAAGACAAGGAGCTGGATTTCTAATTAACCAGTCTTACCTTGGCTTTACTGTGCCCTTTGTTGGTTGGTTGTTCAATGCAGGCCTTGGTTTTGGAGCAAGCTGTGCAGGATTCCTCTCCCCCGGAGATCCGTGTCCAGTACCTCCATCAGATCCAGGCCAACCATGAGGTAAGCAGCATTCCTGCCCTGGAGCTGCTCAGACTCATTTTTCTGGACGAACAGACTCGTGCCACGGATTCCAGGCAGGCCAAGAGGTGCAAAGGTCAGGGAAGTGGGGGCACAGCACACCTCCTGCACTTGGGCTGATCCCTGGAATTGCGCCTTCACCAGGCAACGCCTTGGCCGTCCCTGCCCACCGTTAGACGCTCAGCTGTATCAGGCTCTGCGTGGCCACTGTCGCGCAGGAATCTGGGCTGACAGAGTAAATGGCGGGGAATGGATTTATGGCTTGTTCTGTAATTGCTGGGCTGAGACAGGCAGTTGGTCTGACCCAATCTGGCAGTGGCTGTGTTCATTCTATTTACGCTTCCCCTAACTTGATTACTCACCCCAGTCCCTCCCTCCTCCCCTTTTTCTCCCCCACATCTCCTTCCTTCAGCCTAGGGCTTAAAGCACACATTCATATAATGCATTCCATATGATTTCAGAAACAGAAAATGTAACCCTTATCGGCACCAAGGTTGTCACTTAGAGCTGAGCGCTCGCTCTCTGTCTCTCACTCTGTCTGTCTGTCTGTCTCTCTCTCTCTCTCGCTCTCTCATTCTCTCTCTCTCTCTCTCATTCTCTCTCTCTCTGACACACACACACGGATGTAAAAGAAAATCACACTCCAGACTTAAAGGCAAGGAAGGAAGAGATGCCCAGCCCAGGGGGAGTGGGGGATCATGGTGAGATGAGGAGCATAGACCATGAGGAAGGAACAGACTTCGCAGAAGAGACTGCAGCCCCCACTGGGCATTGACCCGCCCGGTCCTGCCAGGTCTGCTCTGCTGCCTCTAACACAGCCCTTCCTTTCCTTCAGATGCTGCTAAAGGAGGCACAGTCCTTGCGTGACCGTCTGTGCCTGGGAAACGACTCGGATGCGACTGTGGAAAAGCTCCTGCATGTATATCAGGAGCTGCGCAACCCCAGCCTCATAGTCCTGTGAGCGCCAAGCTGTGGGTCCCCGTCTCGGCACACCTCCGATCGCTCCACTGCCATTTCTGCCCAGTGTCGGTGGCATGAAGGGCACAGCTGGCTGTACACCTTGTCAACTGACTGAGGGCCGAAGCAGAGGCGTGGCAGGGAGGGGCAGCAATTCCAACTGGGCAAGCCCCAGGCCTGACTGGGCCCATGAGGGAGGCCGGAAGCCCAGGGCTCCGCCGTGTGACTTGTGTTCCCAGCCCACCCTGGCTGCCTGCCCTTTCTCCCTTTTCATGTGATTGTTTCTCTTTCCCGGGGTTTTGAATTCCTGCCTATTCCTGGCAGATCGGATTGGTGCATCGTGGCAGTTTCATGCGCAGGCAGTGTCCAGCTAGACTGTGCATGCGCACATCATGCGTGTGTATGTCCATGTGTGTAACTTGGATGGCTGACGAGGTGCCGTGGTGGGTGTGGGTGGCGTATTGTGGATTGCACTTGACGTTGCTAGTTTAGCTTCTTTTGCTTTGGTGACGGTCGCTTTGCTGTGGCAAGCCCCGGAGTCTGGTGGGTTGTCTGTGGGGAGGGGAGGGGAGGGGAGGGGCAGGTTTTCCTGGCGATTTTAGTGGGAGTTTTGTTTGCTCCAAACAACAACACGAAGGGCTACGCCTCTAGCTGTGTCACATTTTTCGGGAACACTGTGGAAAAAAAAAACAGGCTGTTACACGCATAAGTAACTCAGGGGTGCTCCTCATACGGTGCCCCGTTTTCTAATGGGCTGTTGAGTTCCTTTTTCCAGTATTTGTCCTTTCTATAAACAACTTGCTTGTCTATTTCCATGGCTGGGGGCTCCTGCACGGTCATGAGTGTTGGGTTTTCTCTCTGTGTACATTCAACCTTTCCTTCCTTCTCCAAAGGCTTTGTGTCTAATGAGGAAATACTAGTATTTTGTTAAGCCACTGATTGCCATGAGAGCGTCCCTCTTTGCCGGGCAGTCTGGTTGCATCTCCTCTTCCTTTCTCTCTGGCTGGCATGTCTGTGGCAGCTTGGGGGCCTGGCTGCCGCCTCCCCGCTGAGCTAATGCAGTGTCTGCCTTTAAAAGCTGCCTCCTCCCAATGAATAATTGAAAAGCCGCTCCGTGCGCTCGCTGGCTGGCACTAAGCGCCATTAGGAAAAGCTCCAACACTCCGGGGTGAAAGAAGCGCGCACTCTCCTGTTGCCCAATTTGGAATAATGGATGTCGCACTTGCCCTCTGACCTCCAGGCCAGTCTTCACCTTGCGTCCCCGAGAGGCTCGGTTCAGGCAGATGTGGCAGCTGTTCACCGCCCACCCCCATCCCTTTCCTGGGCCCCCACGAAGCTATAAGGTCAGCCCGAAAAGGGACGTGTGGGATGGAGGTCACGACAATAAAAGGGTTTTGTTTTTCATTTGCCTTCTGAAGAGCAGTGTTTTGAATCTCGTAAAGGCTTGGTGCCTCGGCCTTGCCTGGCCTAGACAAGGGCTGGGGTGGCTCCCCTGCCTTTATCACCAAGCTTCCCTTCCCTTGCAAGGGCGGTGTGCCAGCCCTCCTGGAGTTTGTCGGCTTACCATCCTGGCACTAGCCTGCAGAAGGGGGGGTGGCTGAGAGCGCCTGCCTGCATGTGCACACGCACGTATGCACCGTTCAGGGCTTATGAGCCTCGGACTTCCTTTCTTCTCTGCATAAATATGAACTCGGGGCAAAGCTGTCCCTGCAGAAGGGGTTTTGCAATGTCGGCCATCTTCCCTCTGACTGTCGCCAGTCAGTCCTCCCTAAGCACAGCCCCATGCGTGAGGGTGGAGGGAATGGCCCCATCGGCTCTGTCCTGGCACCGAGAGGGAGGGTGGCTGCGGCATCCTCTGGAGTGCACTTGGAAAGGTTAAGGTTTCGGCAGTTGCCAGTGCTTGTGTCGGTTGAGATTACCCAGTCGAGCGCGCCTGCCGCCTGCCTCCCACCCCCTGCCCCCTGCTCAGCGAGTCTTGAATGGAGGAACTGACAGATCTGGGTCTTTGGGTCTTCTCAGTCACCCTGCAGGGCTAACCTAATTGGATTCCATCCAACCGCCGGTCAGAGCTGAGCGTGCACGGAGAGCTGAGCCCGCTTGCTGCATGATTGGTGGAAGCTGGCTCCACCAGGAGCGAGAAGTACTTTCCAGAGACACGCTCTGCTCAGAGAAGCAGAGAGGAACACTTTCCCGAGCCGGAGAGATGTCTAAGAGGAGACTTAATGAAGCCAGCAACCCTAGGAATAAGCCCCTGGAGTTCTAATCACTGCTAGCCTCTGTCCAAAAATGGTGGGAGTTGCTAGCTCAAGCATGCAACTTTTGTGTCTTGATGGGATAGCTCTGGCAAAAGAACCTGGGAACTGAGCCCGGAAGAACAGCTCTGCAGGCCACTATGCACCAGGCCCTCCACTAAAAGGGGAATCCCAGGGGCCCCAGTCGCAGGTCAGCAGCTCTCTGCTTGCCTGATGTTGCACCATAAGAGCCTGATAAACGGCGCCTCCTGCCTGCCACAGCAGCACCGTTTAACAGTACCTACCAACTGTGCTAGGTCCACCACCCCCACCTCATGCATACCATTGCACTTACCCTTGGCCAGCAGAAGCACTTGTGCCTCTGCCTCACCTCACCTCACCTCAAATTTTCCAAGAATGGCTGGAAGCGGTCCTCTGTGTTGGGAATCCCATTGCGGAAGAGTGGGGAAATCGGGTGTTCTCGGAGTAGTCGCAGTACCCCGTTGCGGTCAGCAGGGGTCACTGTGCCACTGAAATGATTCTCCCTTGCAGCCGAATGGCGTCTCTGGGAGGCAGCCCCTTTACCGAGCTGCTGCCTGGGTCATGCCTGCTCAGCTGTCGGCTCAGTGCTAGTCGCTGGCCAAGTGGGCCGTGCAGCTGCATCAGCCCCCAGCACGTAGTGACATCCATGCGCCTCGTGGTTGCCACCCCGAGCTTTAATCACCTCGCTGCTAGGGTTGCTCCTAGCTGAAGCTGCACCTGCCATTCTGCCCTGGTCCCTGCTTTTCCCTGACTCATGCTGCAGCTAGCAGCACCTTCATGGCAGCTCCTTCCTCTCCACCATGCTCCACCCCTGGGCTCACCACAGTAGCAGAAGAGGGCCTCCTGTCAACATCAGGGAGGAGGCAGATGCTGCAACCTGTTGAGTTGAAAAACCTCCCGAGCTCCCAGAACTATTTTTAATATGTCTTTGGTACAGCAAAACCGCCCAGACAGCTGCAGCTGTCAGGTGGGATAGAAATTAAATACGTAAAATAAAAGCTAATCTTGCTTACAGTGGATATGCTCCATTTTTTCCTATCTTTTTCTGAATGGCCTCTGCTCAAGCAGAGTGTGGTGGATATTTTTGCAGCGCTTCAAAAATGGGGATTCAGTGCAGAGAAACTTATGCGCACTTGCAGTAGGTAACAATGTATCATGCCATTGTCAAGTTAGCTTTTCATAGCCGCTCATGCACAGGTTGGGTCTCCTGCTGCTTGCGGCACTGTCCTGATCATGTCTACTCAGGGAAGACCCAATAAATTCAGTTGGACTTGTCTGGGAGCGTATGTGCTTCACATGGCTTGCAGCCAGGGCTTTGCAGAGACTTGGTTGCGGTATGACAGCACTGTTGTTGCTCGTGCTACCCTGGTGCAATGTTCACACTGCCTGGGTCTGGTTGTTTTTGCAGAGGAAGTACTGACCCTTGAATAGTGCCCACTCCCAGGATTGTTGGTTAATTTTACATGTATAGATTTAAAAAGTGAAGGTGTGGCTTAGCCTATGTGCAGCTCTGCATGCATTTCAGATTAAAAAAAAATTCTGGGGACCTTTAAGCCACTACCTGTGTTGGATCCAGGCTAGCAGTAGTGTCCTGTTATTGGGAAACCAGAGAAAGAACTACACAAATAACTTATGCTCTTATTTTATTCCCAAGCTCCATTGACTCTCATGTAGACTCAGCAAGATGTTTAATAAGAGTACAAACTTGCATTTGGTGGTGTGCTCTATCTCTATATATTCTGTCATGGGTAAAGGGTGCATTGTGATTTATGAGCCAGATCTTCCTACAGGTTTGAAAACGCCGAGGAATTGATAGACCTTATTAAAGAACTAGGTCTCACTCGGTGGCAGAGATAAGGAGAAAATAAAACAGCCATCGGGTGAAACTACTATTGGTAGAGGTATCAACCCGAGAAGTCTAGTGGAGAAGCCATCGTGGAAGCTACCAGTGTTGGTAAGGGGGAGGACGTGCTGTGGGAAGGCGGACTTCGGCGCCGTGAACGCGAAATGCCCAAGCTGCATGCCCGCACTGTTGCCCCTAGAGGGACTCGCCGCTATTTTTTGAGAAATTATTCTGAGTTGTTAACCGGTGAATCCCCGTAGCACACCGCAGCCGCCCCCCCCCCCCCCCGGTCAAGCATCAATATTCTGGCAAACTGAGAACATCTGTAGGAGCGGAACTCCGGGCTTCGGATCCAAGGGAGCCCTGCATACGGGCCGCGGGGCTGGGGCAAGAGGCCCCCTTGATTCGGCGGCCGGCAGGGCAAGGCTGTTCAGGCAGATCGCCCACCCTGTACGCGCCAGCGGTGGTCGAGCCTACTTTTGCTTCTGGTGGAAACGGAAGGTGCCGTCATGTTGACTCCGCCCCTGCAAATGAGCGAGGTCTCCAGTGAGCAACGCGCGGCCTGATCCAAGTCGGTTTCGCTTGGGAAAAGCGCGACCGAGTTCAGTGGAATTTCCAGATAAATGCAGTCGCCTTTCCTCTGGCGAGAGTCTGTTTTAGATCTGCACATTTCAGGGCAAAGCTGCGGTAGCTGCTGCAATGAGCCTTCTGGATGGGGGGCGGGGGGGGGAGCGGTTGCTTGATCGATTTGCAGCTCACGGTGACGAACGCGCTGCTGTCACCATTTTCTCCTTATATGGCCTGCCCGCGCCTGTTCACTTTCCTTTCCTGCAGACGCTCCCAGGAGTTGCCTTTATATGGGCTGCGGCCAGCTGGGCCAGCGAGAGCCCTAGCCAGAGCCAGCCACGCGAATCTTCTTCCTGTGGCCGTTTCCCTTTCTGTTTCCCTTCCGAGTTTGGGATCCTGCCGCCTTTGAGGGTAAAGGAGGCGCCCCCAAGAACAGCTTTCTCCAACCTGATGCCTCCCCAGTGTTTTGGACGAAACGCTCAGTATCCTGACCATGGGCAGTGCTGACTGTGGCTGATGGGAGCTGAAGTCCAAATCATCTGGCAAGCAGCACCGTGCCCCTGCACACTGTATGGTATTTTATCCCTCCTCACCTGGCCCCCCAGCACAATTGTGTGAAAATAATGTACTCCTTCTATGTCCTTCTGAATGCAAAGACTCGCTCTCCCACCTCGGTAGACTCTGGCACGGGAGGTGGCAGCAGTCTGATGGCTGAGCAGCTAGTAGTGGCCCTTTTAATCTCTCCCAGGGCATTGCTGGGGGTCTTGTGGGAAATTTAAATTGCCGAGTAGGAGAAAGTGCATAAAGGACGACTCCAGTGATTGAGGGGCTAGAGCAACATCTGGGACCATTTAGTGTAGAACAAGGGCAAATGAAGAGAGGCATGACAGGGGAGTGCAACATTACACACAGTGTGAAAGAAGTGGAGAGGGAGACCACTCTCCCCCTCCCCCCTCCGTGGAACCACAACTGAAAGGGGTCATTCCATTATGTGGGCTGGTGGGAGATTGCAGAGAGGTCTAAAGAAGCCCCCCTTCCTATACAGCGACGGAGGCTGCTAGCCCTGAGGAGCACATGCCACTCCCAGTACCGACTGGGGAATACGAGTGGGTGCTTTTGCACTCAGGTCTGGCTTGTGGCTGACTGGCCACGGTGTGGATGCAATGCTGGGTTAGATGGACCTTGGTCTACCCCCGCTGGGCTCTGACGTTCCAAATGGCAGCAGCTGCTGCAGGAGTACAGCTGCTGAGTCAGGCAATTGCCCATTAAAGGTAACAAGGAGGCTCCAGTAGCCTTAAAGATAACCGTGACTGAGCTGTGCTGGCTGCAGAGCCATGGGATTGGCTGGCCTGCTGTGCCTGCAGAAAGCAAGCGGTGCCACCACGGATGGAACACTGGCGCTGGGAGGATGCCGTGTTGGTGCAGGTGCGGATGCACCAACAGAGAATGGCAGGGCCGCCAAAGGGGCTGGCATGGGAGTGGTGTGAGGGCGAGCACCAGCAGGCTGTGCCTTGCTCTCCTCCAGGCCAGAGCCACACCGATGACCAGTGTGGCTTCACGCCAGCACCAGGCCTGGCAAGGGACATGTCCCCACTGACGATCAGAGGGTGAGGAAGTAAAAAATAGCACCCCTCTTTCGATGAGCTGCCCACCTAAATTTACAGGAGAGATGCATATGCTTTGCCTGGGTCTTTATGGGCCTAAAAAAAGGCCCTAAATACTGGCAGCCGGTGGTGAACTCACTGGGAGCTTTTGCACGGCATAATAAGGCATGCGGCTCTGCCGTCTGAGCCATCCTGTGTCTGACGGATGATCAGCACAGCGGGGAGTGGGGAGGTGCTCCCCTTGCCCCTCAGTCCTCTGGTGGTTATCCCAGAAGGGCTCACAAGAGCATAGAGTCTTCCTCCTGCCTCTACTGGCCATCAGCAACAGTGAGGAAGAGTGAGCTGCGATCGCTGATGCCCCATCTCCAGCTCATGAGGAATCCCTGCTTTCTGGACCGAGAGGTGTCCCCGTGCCATCCATCTCTGCCCGGCACTGCTGTCAGCTGAAAGACGGTCCAGATACTTCAGTTGGTTCAAAACAGAGCTGCCAGGCTGCTGACGGGGACTGGGCGTTATGGTCACATGACTCCAGTTCTCCGTCAGCTTCACTGGCTTCCCATTGAAGTCCGGGCCCAATTCAAGGTGTTGGTAATGACCTATAAAGCCCTAAACGGCTTGGGTCCTGGCTACCTGAAGGCGAGCTTACATCCATATATGCCCAGCCGCCCCCTGAGATCAGCGGGAGAGGCCCTTCTCCGGGAGCCCCCCGTGAGAGAAATTAGGAGGGTGGCTACTCGGAGGAGGGCTTTCTCAGCAGTGGCGCCTAAGTTATGGAATGCGCTCCCTAGAGAGGTCTGCCTGGCGCCGTCGTTATTTGCTTTTCAGCGCCAGGCGAAGACCTTTTTATTTAAGCGGTATTTTAACTGTTAATATTATTTGATCTTATCTGGCCAGGGCAGCTTATTTTATATTGTATTTTTTGGATTTTTAATGTTTATATGTGTTGTGATTTATTTTATAATTGCCTTTATTTATTGTTTGTAAGCCGCCCCGAGGCTTCGGCGAATGGGGCGGCATAAAAATGTTTTAATAAATAAACAAACAAACAAACAAACCTGGATTAGCTCTGCTGATGTGCAGCTTGGTTAAGCTGATCTTCACCCTGCACTGCCACCGAGGCCCCCTGCTGAAAGAGGTAGCAGCTGGTCCCTCTTCTCTGCTGGCAGGGGTGGCAGAGAAGATTTGCGTAGCCAGCTGGAGCTCCCTCCGGGCCCCGCTAGCCAAAGGGCTCACTCCACTGATGCCAAACTGCCCGTGGCTGTAAGACCTCACTACTACTGCTGCCATCTTAATGCTGGGTACACAGGTGAATTGGCTGTACGCATATACCTTCAAGGTCCCACACATTAGTAATACAGGCAGTAAAACTCTACCTATTCATTTTCTTTATTTATTTTAAAAATGCAGAGACTCTCCTCATTCAATCCCCCCCCCAAAAACCCACAATTTCCAGGTGGTATACACAGAAATCAAATATTTAGTACAATAAAAACTATGCATGATTCACTCCATCTTTCTGGCCACTGTAACAGCTGTGGTTACAATGCAGCTGTGATTCAGGTGCATGGATATTTCCACAGTAAACCATTAAATTTTGATAATGTCTCTTTAAAAAAAAATCTGTAGAAGCAGAAGTGAATTGGGCTTGTTTGCATGTATTTAAGCCGCAGTGGTTGGTGGCATGAAGGGGCAGCCATTTTTAATACTTGAGCTGCAGCTTGGCATGTCCAAACACTGGGACTGTAGGTTATACAAGGGCTGTCTGACCCTTGCAGAATCGACAGTCTTTGCATTTGGATGACCAAATAGCCCATGGCTGGAATAATCAGGATGGTGCTTATAGGCACTGCAGCTCATCATGAGTTCAGATACAATGAGTTGCAAAATCAAGAGAACCCAGCCATGTGGTACCAGGCTTATGGTACCACTTGAGTGCCAGGAGGCTCCGTGAGAAAAATGTCAAATACCTGCAAGACTTAGTATACAGTTCAGCTTTAGCAGCAGTTGAGTTCCCCCTCTCCAGCACAGAATCAAACACATCCATTCTCTTAATAAATAAATACATGTACTTTAAACTGAATTAAAATATGGTGGAAAGGTTACCCCCCCCCCCATCCACACAAAGATGCAGGAAGACTTGCTGCCTCTCACACACTGTATGGGCATGGCATATTGTACCTTTGGTACTAGATCAGGGCTAGCACCATTTTAATACTAAAAATACAACCCAGAAGGGAGTTGGCTTCTGCCAATGAGCCAAATGCTTTTAAGAAGCAAGCAAGCAAGCAAGCCAAAAAGCTCTCAAGCAAAAATCCACAGGCCTTCCTTGCTCACCCCTCTGTCCAAGAGCAAGGCCTTCTGTCTTTCCAGTACTGTGAGGCCAGACGCATCTGGTGGCAACTGGGGAAGTGGCAGCTGTAGGAGGGGGCTGCTCTTCACATGCCTTCCAGGCATATACAGCTGCTTGGAGCAGGAAGCTCCATTGAGGCAGCTTCCTTCCCTTTTAGGTTATTTATGCAAGATATAGAGAGTGGAGGGGGAAGAGGCAGTTAAATAAAGGCAGTTTTGATGGCCAGGTGTGCTTAGGGCTGCTGAACAGGGCCTGGAGAGTCCTGACTCGGAGCCCCTTCCAGTGCCGGGCAGGGATTTCCCAATCCTTCCTCCACCTTCATGGAGGCCTCATGTAGCAGAGCTGCAGCTTCCCTTTCTCCCAAATTTTAGCTAATACTTTTCAGCCTAACCCAAGGCTTAATTCCCTTTCCTCCCCACTGCCCCAGCATGTTGCTCTGAAGAGCTGACGGTGGCTGGACCACCCCAAGGACGATGCTCTCCTCCTGCCAAGTCCTTCCCGATGGCGCTCGTTGCTCACCTGCATGCAGCTTCCATCTCAATGTGCGGCCGCCATTCTCCAGCAGCAGGGCAGCAGCAGCAGCTGGACCCCATTCCTGCCCAGGAGCACCCCTCGACCTGCCATTTCCGTGCCGGAAGACTCTCCGGGGGAGCGTCAGAACTTCAGCTCTTGCAAGAGGGGGCAACAGGGAGAAAGCAGGCCCAGGCTGAAGCGTGCTGAGGAGCAGAGGACAGGCCAGGAGGGGCTCTGCTGCCCCCCAGGGAAAGGGGGAAAGGGGGGTGCCCAAATTCCCCTGTCACGCTCATAGCTTCGGGGAGGGAGGGGCTTGCCCCTGTAAGCCCCTCTAACCCTTAACATTTGCACCGTTAGACAAGGTGTGAATCCTCTCGGTCACCACGTCTTCAGAAAAGAAGTTGGATTCCCACATGTATGACACCTCGTGGAGTTGTCTTTCCTGCATGAGGTGCAGAATAGATGACACCTACGTCGCCGCACAGAGTCTGGAGCTTTGACAGGACTGAGGGAGAAGCAGGAGGACTTATAACACATGATAATTCTGGAGGGGGAGCGAGACAGTCATGGGCATGTTTTGCTGGCTCTGAAATGGGGCTTTCATCACTTTGATCCTGATTGATACCCTCATAGCTTCGTCCTCCTGGGAGTGCTGCCTCTAAGCCTACACTAAGAAGACTATGGCGGGGGGAGGGGGCAGGGGGGCAACCCATCCCAGCAAGGTCTTCCTCCGTGGAAGATGTGGAAGCATTAAAATGCCACTGGAGTCCAGGTCGGGGAACTATCCCTCTGTGTCCACCCTGCACTGGCTTGGCCACATGGTGGGCCCTAGAACATCTAAGGTGCTATGGGGCAGGAGCTCAGTACTCCCAGAGGGTGGCGCGGTGCAGGAGGTCGGCGTCGGCACGCAGGGTTCCCGCCTGGTCGCCTCGGAGGTATTTGCCATTCTTCCCTTTAATGGCCACTCGACTGCACTCGCGGAACTCCAGGAAGAAATCCTCGGACATCTCGCCATCACTGCAGACGGTGCCATTGCTGGCCACGTACCAGAACTTGCCCCCGAGGCCTAGGAGCACCGAAGAGGCAAGAGTCACGGGGGGGCAGGCAAGCGAGCACGGGAGGGGCAGGCCATTTTGCAAGCCTGCCACAGGGAGGCTTATCCACACGGCTGCCTGTGACTCAGGCCTTGGACAATCCAGGCACAGAGGCTCAGGTGAGATGAGGTCTGTGGTGTGAGCCTTCAAGCACAGAAGAGGTGAGAGGGGTCAGACTCTCCCAGGTCTTCCTTGCCCTCTCCTCTTCCAGGCACTTCACATGCCAGAGCCTGGTGGGGGGAACTTTCCGCTCCCCCCACGCATGTGCCACCTTGCTTTACACCTGGCTAGGGCTGCCGGGGGCTGACATAAACGAAGGTGCCACCACAACACCCAAGTTGATCCAGAACTGGCAGGGTGTTCAAAGCAGCCTTCGAACAGCGGCTGTGTTAGACCACAGGTTTTGCATCTGCAGGCAGCAAAGCTGCTCCAGGAGAAGCGGGATCAGAGTAGGGGGAATGGGATACTCCAGTGCACGGAGTGTGAAAGAGAAGCGGACCACGGTGTGAACATTGCTGGGATCTTGCACTGGGGTGGGAGAGTGTTGGGTATTCTGATGGTCTGGAGTGTCTGCAGTTGTGCTAAGCTATGGAATGGAGCTTCTGGGCTCCAGGGAGGTTTGGAAGAACGTCTTTCCTGCTTTTGCATCTGGAAAGCAAACGTGCATGTCGCATCGCTCCACCATATGGTCCAAAATAATTTCACTGCATGAAGAACATGAGCAAACTCCGCTCCCTCTGCTGCCCATCCCTGCCCCCCTCCCACTCATCTCTCTGTTTGCAACCAACTACCTTTGATCTGGTAAGCTCCATCATTGAAGATGATATGGAAGACATCGTAGACAGAACGGTTGGCGTCCAACAAGTTGGAGTTGCGATGGTAGCACACAAAGCCGTGTGTCCCACGGAGGACCAGGATGGGGCGGTTGATCAGCTTCAGAACAAACTCCTCATCCTCCCCTGTAGTCAGAAAACGGCAGGTCAGTGAGCTCTGAGGCTAATGCCACTGCTGTGACTGGGAAGTGCTACTAATCCAGAGGGGCATGGCTGAATGCTTGCGCCAGGCCTCAGCCAGAACGAGTACAGGTTGCTGCCCCGGCTACATCTGGACTTCCTGGCGCCTGTGCTGGCCGTTCTCTGGCTGGCGTGTTTATGTTTGGGTTGGAGACGCCCAGGTAAGGCCAGTCTATTGCCACAGTCAGTCCTCCCTCCTGCCGGGACTGAGCTCACTGCGCACTTCAGGATTTTGGGGAGGCCGCCCTTGGTGCCCCCTCCGGCAGTGCCTCCCCCTTCTCGCCGCCATTGCCACCCGCTGCCCTTGCTCCTCAGCCACCTGCTCGTCGCGGCGGCCACGTGCTTGCGCGACAGGCAGAGAGCCAGGGAGCAGGCAGGCGACGGCCCCCACAGGGCCCCTTCACCGCCACCGTTTTCTGGGTCAGGGCAAGAGGCGGGCAAATCGGCAGTCCTGCACTGCTCAGCAGGAAGGGCCCGTGAGGTGGCGGCTTGTCCTGGGCTCCCTGTGGGTGTAGGCCCCTGCCGGGCACCCAGCCGCGCCTGCCCTTCGTCCGCCACCTCCCCCCATTCTGGCCTGGCATCCCGAGGGCCACAGAGAGCGGCGCCCCTCCCCGTCCCTGGGTGGCCTGTGCCACCGAGATCCTGCAACTCAACTGGCACCAGTTTAGCACCCACCCATTAGTTCGCATCCTGATTTGGTATAACTGAAGGCCTTTCTGCCCGCAGACTCATGGCAGGAAGCTGCCCAGTCGCAGGCTGGACTGAGGAAGCCTGTCTGCTTTTCTCTGCTGCTCCAAAGCGGCTTGCTGCCCCAGGAGCTGGCCATGGCCCTCGACTCGCCTGGCTTCCAGAGGCTGCTGAAGGAACCTGCGTCCCTGTCCCACAGGACCATGGCCCTTTTGGCATGGCTCCTTCTTCCGAAATGTGGAGAAATGGGGCGTTCAGTATGGGCTCTCCTTTGCAATGTTGTCTTCGCAATTCTGCTGCTGGCACAACAGGGAGTCCTCCTCATCCCTGCAAGCACCACATGCCACCCATTCTCCAGAAGGCCTCCCTGCCACCCACCGGCTTCTTGGACCTGGTCCCTCGCCGCATGGCTGTTTCTCTTCCCTCAGCTTCTGAAGCCCCTCCCATGCAGTCACAGCCACAGCCACCCCTGCCTAATATCTGTGGGCTCATGCAGAGTGATTTTGCTTCAGTCTTCCAAATCCCCTAAAGCAAGCTGTTCTCTATGGCAGGGGCATCGAACCACAGGCCCTGAGCCCAGTTCTGCCCCTCCTGGGATCTCCAGGCAGCCGTGCTCCATCTTCAGACCGTGCCCCCTTTCCCCCAAGCACGGATCACCGCTGGTGTGCAGTTTTCCACATTCCACAAAGTTGACATGCCGGCCTCAAGCTCAGTTACTGGCAGGAAGGGCTTTAATTTACAACATGCTGATATTTTAGGGCTTCCCCCTTTGCTTTCCACCCTGCCTCTTTTGACCTTGGCCCACTGGAGTTTCTCTTTAGTAGAATCTGGCTGTTGGTCTGAGGGAGGCCCAATACCCTTGTTCTAGGTACTCTGCTGATGCCTCGCAAGCATGGCTCAGATGTTGCTTATCCATTCAGCCACCAATTTCAGTAAGACCACTCTCTAGATTCTGGAGACATCAGATCCTTGCTTGATCACAGCACACTGCCTGGCCCATCTAGCCTGAGCATCTGGGATTAAAGCAACTGGAAACACTGTTCCCAGGATCCAGTCCTAAGACTCACCCACTGCGTCACTGACAGCTGCCAGTTGTCCATTCTTCTTGGTGCAGATGTATTTGCCATTGCCCGCTTTGAGGGCCACCCGGCGGCCACGCCACTCCACATCAAACATGGTACTGGCCGATCTGGGGGACCAAACCAGGGTGGGGAGAGAGAGCACCGGTCAGTGGGAGAACCAGCAAGGGAACGGTGTTCATTTTCTCCTAAAGCTTTTGCTCTTTGTTCCCTGCTAGATATTCCACGCATGGGCTGCAACCCTACAGCCGCACAAGCATGGCAGTAAATCTTGCTGGGATCAGCGAGATCTGCTTCAGCACAGACTCGCAGAGGGCTGCACCTTGGCTGTGGCGCTACTCCACGGCTTCATCTCACTCCACGGCAACCCATTCATCCAGATTCCTCTCCCGGCAGGTTCATTCATGTTAAAGTCGGGGGATGTCACTGTCTTGTCTCAGTGAGACTCAGCAAAGCACAATCAGAGCCCTTCCTTTTTGGCAGCAGATAAAGTGAACTGAAGTGTATTTTGATTAAACACCTTCTCAATGGCAACCACATGGGTAATCCAAGGGTTAACTGCACTCTCCTAAATAAATTCCTGTTGCTTTATTCTAATCTGCGTTTGTCCAACTTTAACCTCCAGCTTTTGGTTCGTGTTCTTCTGGATTAGAGAGTCCTTAAGTGCTCCCAGACTGCCTGCAAAAATAGATGGATGGATGGATTGATAGATGGCTGGATTGATAGATAGATAGATACTTCAAGTGTGGTCTTAAAAGCAAAGTGAGAGCACAAGTAGATGAAATCTGTGATTGGATTGCTCATTTAAAAAAAGCTTTGCAGAACAGTGGCAGCAGGGACTAATTCAAATGCTGGGTAAGGTGGGTTTAACCCTTTCCCTCCACATTGTCTCCCCTAATCTAAACTGTCAAATCAGAGCTATTCCTTGCCCTGCAGAGGAAAGCAACACAGTTCCCGTATGTTTTCCTCCACAAAATAAACAGCCCTTTCAGGGTGTGGAGGGGAGCTGCCCAATCTGTCTTACTTCATCCCACCCCACAGTTGCTTTTAATGCCTACAAATCCTGCAAGTGACCAAATCACGGCCCCTTAGTTTGGCTTTAAGATGCCCTCGACATGTTCTTCCAACTGTGTGGGAACCATGGATCTATAAACAGCTCCCATGTTGCTGAGAAAGGGGGTTGGGGTGAATTGCACAAGGATGTTCCATGGAATTGGAGTCTGCAGAAGAAGTTCACATGACTGGTCCTATCCCACTATTGGGATCGTTTTAAGCTTCCACCAACTGCCTGGGAGCAACTTACAGAGAAGCAGCTGGGAATCTTGGTTTAGGCAAGGAGCAGAGAGAAAGCTCCAGCCTAGGCAGCCCGAGAGGCCAGAAAGCGCTTTTTCTTGCCTTTTGGTGCTGCTGATGGAGGTGCTGCTCCATCAGTAGCTCCATCCAGTAGCAATTGCCTGCTACTGGGGCAATAACCACAGCTGCCTCATCTCTTGCCGTGGAGCATGTTGCTCTCCAGCTGACCGGTGAGACCCCAACCTTAGGTGAGCTGCAACAGCAGCGCAATCACTGTGCACACCCATGGTTAATGGATGGAGAAAGGGGTTCCCAAATGCATCTCTGTGCTCAGGCTGTGTCCAAAAAGGTGGCAGGCTACCACCCTCGCACACCTTCCCTTGAGGCCCGCCAGTCGCAGGCAGGAGTTGCTGCCACGCTAGCATCCCAAGAAGGGGTGGCATCGAAAGTGCTGCGGCCTGCGCACGTCTGCATCGTAGCACCCGGGCTGGATGGTTTTGCCTGTCAGAGGTCCCAGATTCTGGCACCTGTGTGGAAGTTCTTGTGCATGTGACAACTCTCTCCTCAGACCACACTCTCTCTCCTTTTTAGGATGGACAAAAACGGATTCTTTATTTTCTCTTCACACCGCATCGTTAAACTATGGAATTTGCTGCCGCAAGATGTGGCCAACCAGCGATCATCAGGAAACCCACAGACCACTGACTTAGATGCTCTGGAGGAGAATTCAGCTGATTCATGGAGGGTAAGACTATCAATGGCTATTAGTTCTGATGACTAAATGCTGCTTCCAGTATCAGAGGCAGTATACTGGGAAACACGGGCAGGAAGCTGCCGTTGCATTCATGGCCTGCTTGTGGGTCTCCAAAGGACAGCAGGTTGGCCACTGGGTGGACAGGATGATAGACTAGGCTAGACCCTTGGTCTGCTCCAGCCTAAGTCTTCTTCTGTTTTCATGCCTCACCGTACCAGGCAGTCGGGAACAACAGTGGGAGACGGCCGGTGCCCCCCGGTCTGCTTGTGGGCTTCCCACAGGCACCTGGGCTAGGCCTGGTGGCTTTTTCGTTCATACCCATGTTTTCCTTTTTATTTATTTATTTGTTTATTAAAACATTTCTATGCCGCCCCTTGCCGAAGCCTCAGGGCGGCTTACAACACAATAAAATACAATAAAATACAAAAATAACAATATAAAATTAAAATTAACAATATAAAACAAATAAAAAATATAAAAAATATGATTCATGGCAAAAACTAGCCTAACTTCTGCAGTCGTAATCAAGCTCGTGAAACGAAGGGCACAGTCCAACTCACATTTCAGTGGCCGTGGCTTGAATCCCTCCATGTGACACCAGGGTCCAGTAACTGCCTGTGTTGGAGTGGAAGATGCACTTCTTGGTCTCTTTGTCAATCTGCATCTGGAAGGTCTCATGGTGTGTCTCTTCATCCTGGTTGGCTGAGACGTTGACACCTAGAAGGAAGGGCATCTTTTTCATATCATTTATATTTAGTACACTCCTTGCCCGACTCCTCTGAAGACCTCTGACCTGCAGGGAAGGGTCAAGTAGAGAACTTAGAGTCGTAGCTGAGGAGGTAGACCCCCTGCAAATAATTACTGAATAAATGGGCACAACATGCTTTATTGTTCGCTCCCAAGCATGATGATGTGCTTAATAATACTTAAATCCTGAGACAATGAACAACAGGTAAACTTTGCCTTCTATATTTTTCTTCTCATGCTAACGGCAAATGAAAATGTGACACCACTCGTGATACTGGCCATTGCAGGAGTCATTTTTGTAAGGAGGAAACAGCAGGTTTGAAGGACCCTGACTGGGGTCAGGAGCACAGTGGGGCGGGAATTGGAGACCCTCACCCTTCTGCTGGGGTCCCACTGCAGACTGGGGCTCTGCACTTTCCACTTACTCTTTCCAAAGCAGTTACGTACTTGCTAAGTGAGTGGCATACAAATGCCATGCACCGATCGAAGACGCAAGTCATTGCGCAGACGGCTTCACATTTCTCTTGGCCCTTGAGATCCAGTCTTGCCTGGCTGGCTCTCCACCTTTGCTGCCTGGAAGTGCTCCTGCCCATCATATGAAGCTCCTGGCCAGGGCTGCAGGGTTGTACTGCATTCCCTTGCAGAAGCCCCGGGTGCAAGTCAGCTCCGTTTGCCCACGACGGATGGGAAGTACCATGCAAGGACAGTGCTTTGCCCCAAGCCACTCACTGGGGTAGTCCCTGAAAGAAGCTAGTCTTTGACCCAGGACCCAGCATCTGATACGCCAGTCATCCTGAACTTGGTGCCTACAGATGTTCTGGACGACAGCTCCCAGGATTCCAGACGACTGGCAGGGGCAGATGGGAGCTGAAATGCAAACGATCTGGAGGGTACCATATTCTGGAAGGCTGCTATTTACCAATAGCGACCTCATGCTCCTGGTGAAGACAAACGGAGCACCAGGAAAGCTGAGGTTTTAAGCACTTCAAGCACCAGGAAGGCTGAGGTTTGCGGAAATAACAAATATGCTTTCTGGTGGGGAAGGACTGGGCATGCTTGCTGGTAACAGGCTGTAGAGTGCATGTTGGGGGGAAATACTGAAAACCTAGAGGAAGGGCTATCCTGGAATCGCCTGGTTGGCTGAAACGCCAAACAGGAACACGCCAAACTGTAAAATTTTGAGGTTTTTCTACCCAAGGCTGTTAATCTTCTGCATCCAGTTTGCTGAGGGATTGAGAGTGAAGCGCTACAGAAAACTTTTATTTTCCTTCTTTTCAGCTGCAGAATTTTGGTAGTATTTCTACCACTGTAGCATAATCATGTGATTATAAAGTAGGAAATATGTTTTCTTTCATTGTAAGGAGTAATACTCTATTTTCCCAGCTCTGAAAAGCTCAGGAAGGTGTTCATAAAAACCAGAAGTGAACCTGGAGGATCATGACATTTTCTTAAATCCCATAAACTAAGCATACCATAAATACCTTGTGCAGAAAAGCTCTCTGCATGTCCCATTTGTTATATCGATTGGGCAATATCAAATGAGAGATGGACAAACATTTCAAATGCCCCTCATTTATTTGAGTTTCATTTATTTAAGCCAAATGTTTTCACCTGGGATCCTTCAGGCATTTTGGACTGCAGCTCCCATCATTCCTGACCTTCGGCTATGCTGGATGAGGATGATGGGGCAGTGGAATGAAATATCAGAAGGGCTCCAGGTTGGAGAAGACTGCTTTCAGGTATCCTTCATTACTTGTCTCTTTTATTGATTCCACAAGATCCAGATTCTATCCATAAGTGGAATTTTACAGCTGTTGGAGCTCCTTGCGGTGCCTTCCATGCTAAGCTTAAAGCTCCTTCCAAAGCTGAAGCTCAAGTTGCCCTGAAATGCAGGAGCTTTGAGGTAGCTGCTTAAAAGTCTCGCACGTAATGCCACATGGGGAGGTGGGATCATCCATGCCTTCCGACCGCACACTCAAGCACAGCTGCAAACGAGGCTGCGGTTTAACTGCCTCGCCTGAGCGAGAAGCAGCTCCCTTCCCTCACTTGATGTGGTTTCTTCTCACTGGGAAATTGCACCCAGGTGGGAAGGCATCCTATCATTTGCTTGCTCACATGTTTTGCGTATCTGGCCTTAATAGAGCAGTGCGGAAAGAAGCCTGGAGGGAGCCATTGTGGTAAGATACGGATTTACTCTAAAGGAGAGCTTGAACAAATGCCTCACGAGTGTGCTGCCTGCCCGAGGAGCTCGCCACCACTCTCCGCTGGCCCCCCACTCCCATATCAAGCAGCCAGGTGGCTGCCCCACCCCAGCAGCCCTCCTTGTCGGCAGGAGGGAAGGAAGCCTGGCCCGGAGCCTGGCCGGGCAGGTGGGGCAGCGCAGGAGCTGCAGTTGAGCAGGGCCCCTTTCCACTAACGCCAGATGTGCCATGGCGGGCAGGGGAGGGCAGATCAGCGTACGTAAGCATGGGACAGACTCTGCCAATAGGCGTGTCTCTGCCACCCATGCCTGTTCTGTGTGTTGGGCGGGGGGGTGGGGGTTCTTTAGAGCAGCCCTGCCCTTCCATGTCCAAGTGGCTGTATCCAAACCTCCAGCTGGGGGCTGATCACATGGTGCAGCCCCACATGGAGGGGACCACAGGGAGGACAGTGCGTTGCGAGGGAGAGGACCGCTCCCTCTAGCCCTGCCGCAGTGTCCACACAGTCTCTGGCCCTGCCCTCAGCATCCACACAGATGGTTGGAGAGAAGGACCTATGGCAGGCAGCAGTGTGCATGTAGATTTCCCTTTTTCTAATGGTTCACTGAGTGTGCGGACGTGGGGAGAGGCTGGGGAGCGTGCAAGTATTGGGGGCTGGGCTAGCGGGAGCCGCTCCCCCCCCCCCCACAGGCATGCAGTGTTCAGATGGGAGTGCAGTGCGCCACATCTGAATCAGAGTCCCTGGATCACAACCCCTTTTTCTCTGCTATGTTGCAGAATATTCAGACTGGCTTCTAGCCCAGACTCCCACGTGGCGGAAAGCCAATTGTTCAGGTTAATCCCCAGGCCTAAGTATCCTGTTGGCAACCCCAGGCAGCCTGGCCAGCCAAGCATACCCCCTGCTCCCCGCTTGGCCTGGCTTTCTCAACTCGGAGCCGCTGCAGAGCTCAGGCATCGCCTCTCTGGGCTTGCCTCTTTCAGCTTTGAGCCTATTATTGGTGTGTGACCCACAGAGCCCCCTCCTCCCCCCAGACTAGGTGAATTCTACTTCTGCCACTGTGGATTCAGGCCACTAGAGTGCCTGGAGGATATGGATTAAATCTGATCTCTCCCCGCTCGCTCTTCTCCCCTCCCCCTCCAATTCCAATCTCCCCCCCCCCCCCTTGCTTTAAAGTACGGTCTACCAGATTCCCACTGGAGCAGCAGTAGCAGGATGCGCATCTTTAGGCCTGTGCCTCTTGCCAGGTTTCTCATCTCCTTCTCTCCCAAAGTGGCTGTTCTGCGGGGAGGGGGGAGGATGCAGGCCCAACAGGAAGAGGGCTAACCACCCCCTCCCCTTCCCCAGCAGCACTGCTGTGATCAAAGCCTCTGCTTCCCCGGGGGGCTTCAAATTAGAAGCAAAAATGTTAGCTCATGGATTTCCCGGTTCAGCCTCCTATGCACACATCTGCAGAGTCCCGTGCTCCATGTGACGGGGAATGGTGGCCACGTTTGCATGCTTCCCTGATTAGCAGGCTGTGACATTACAGGAAGGAGGGCTGGAAAGTGGGTGCCTTCCACTCCTCAGCCTGCCCAGGAGGCATCTGAGTTCCAGGAGTTCAGTGATTCTACAGCTTTTCTTCACAAAGGAAGGGAGTAATTGGAGTCCTGCTAGTGAGGAATCTTCTTTGCTGCCAGCTTGCCCCGGACTGCTTTTGTCCTCAAATCTGAAGTAATTTAAACATGATTCAGGCGGGCGAGAAGAGCATGCCCATTTAACAGTGCACATGCTCCATGTGTTGTTTACACCAGGCCCGTAGCCACACAACAAGGCCATGATTAGCAGGGAAGCCTTTTCCATGGCTGAGCCGAGCTTTTGAATTATCTCCTAGGCTAGGGGCTCCTTTCTGGCCTCTTCTGGAAGGACCATGCAGATGCTGGTCCAACCCTTCCTTTTCAGGAAAGTGTTTGGGCTGCAAACCATTTTTTATGGAATTGGTTTTAATTGTCTCTGAATCTGAACAGATATTTTCTTGCTACGATATTCTGTCGGTCCTGCTGCTGTTTTTGTGTTAGATCATAAGGCATGTTTTAAATTGCTGACTTATACTTTTACGGTTTTTAGCCAACATGAGCTCTTCGGGGGATAGGCAGGATGGAAATGTGACAGGATGGATGGTCAGACAGACAGAGCAATCGACCGATTGATCTGTGCCCACCTGAGACAGGAATGCCCCAGCATGCTAAAGTGCACGTACAGAACAGGGCAGGCCAGTTTAAATGGGGAGTCCTCTTGCTTTGGACCTAAATTTCACTGCACGGAAGGTCCGCACTCCTCACAGAGAGGCTCCAACGTCAGGGGAGTTCACACATGGGGCAGACGTCTTACTGTCTTGGGGATGTTGGCATGGGGAAGGAGAGGCACAAGCCATTATTGATCTTGGCTGCAGCCTCGATGATGACTGTGGCCATGCTGGCATTCACTGGGGGTCAAACCAGGCTAGTTTGCCTGAGCAAGAGCTTCACTAAGTCATGGGTGGCCCTTCGGATGTTTTGACCTACAGCCACAGGCTATGCGAGCCAGGGCTGTTGGGCATTGCAGGTCGAAATTCTGGAGCCCACAAGTTGCCAGCCTCTGTGTGACACAGTGGACATCACCATGGGCAGCGGAATTTCTGTTTGATTTTTTAAAAAAGCAGTGTATTGTGAGGTCTGCTGCCTGAAGCAACTGCTTCACATTATTTCATGGTGAGCCAAGCCATGTTTGTTTGAAGGAGTTGATTTTCCCATAGA